CGCTTCAGCCCCGGTCTTCCAGAGTCGCGGGGTATTTTCTCCAACGCGGTGACCAGAACTGCAGTTTCCTCAGTCAGGCTTCGCCTGTGCCTCAGACAGTGTACCCCGATCCCCTTCATTTACATTCTAGGCTCTTGACTACATGCCCAGACATAGTCATTGTCTTGATGTAAATGATGTGTCGGCAGAAATATCTCGATCGTTTTCATGAGTCGTCTTCTCTAGCTCAGTGTTTCTCGTGTTTTATTTCAAGTTTACGTTTTTCCTACCTCGCTACCTGCCTGCAAAGCCCTCCGCCCGTCTCCATTAAACGTCATCCGCCAGGTGTCGGCCAAGCCTTCGCAAGTCTCGAAATCTTTCTGAATTTCGCTTGCTGGTGGCTAATCCTCCTGATCTGGTATCTGCACGCTTGATGCGTTTTTCTAACTACTCACTGAGATAATTTCAGACGAGCAGAGGGCCTAGGACAGATCTTTGTGGTTATTGATTACATCACCCACTAAGAGTGTTCACCCGTCTTCAATATCCCCTGTTTTCTAGTCAATAATGACCTCTCAACCACATTTCCTCCTCTGTGCCCTTCGGCTGCCCTTTTGTGTATTCATCTTTTGTGAAGAACTGAAAAGTCTTCTGAATACTGTGTCATGTGTATCCACGACTGTTTCAGAGACGTCTGACAGGTTGGTTAGGCAAGTGCTACCTGTTCTAAATCCATCTTGATTGTCTCCTAGTACCTGATCAGATCAGTTTATTGTTCCCTAGAGGAAAAACATTGCCAAACATTACACATCACATCTGTTGCACATGCATAACGCATTACAGAAAATGACTGTAATATTATACATGCATAGTTTGGTAGAGCAGAAATATATGCTATACTGCTTTACCCCTTGTCATTTATTTATATTAACTGTTTTAACTTAGAGATAAGAAAACTAATGAATATTTGAATGTATTGGATTTATGTTTGGGAACACAAAAACATTTTTCAGATGAAGTTGAAGAAGCTGATATTCAGAATTAAGAGTATGAAAAGGATTTCTGTGTACATTTGACTTTTATTGTGGTTTGAAATGCTGCTTCTTCCTATCCCTGAAATATGAAAACGGCCTTGCAGTTCCTCTTACCTGGGTAATGTGTTCCTTGTGAATCACTACATATGAATGGGCACCAACAGCGCTGGAATCAAACACCATTCCTTCAGTTTTTTCACGTTCAGAGCACATTTCTTCATTTTTTCACATTGTACCAACTGCTTTCTCTGTGTTAGGCCCAATACAGCAGAATCAATTGAACAACAGAGTTGCAGATTTCCATACAGTTGCTGCATGACATTAATTAGAAGGTTTTTTTTCTGCCATTTTAGCCAGACTTTCTGGCCTCTAATGACTTGGCTCAGTTTTCTCGCTGGCACCCCGTTAGAGAGTCTCTAGGTCCTGGGGACCCCCATCTCTTCGCTGGGCGCTCACTGTGTCTCGTGCTCCTGTCGCCAGCGGACATCTACGACCGCGTGTCCGAGGAGATCGAGCGGCGGGGCGGGCTGGACTGCGAGTGTGTGGGCGGAGGCAGGATTCGGCACGACAGCCAGGCCAAGAGGCTCCACGTCTACGGCTACTCCATGGTGAGGAGGGGGGGGGGCTGCTGTCCTTCCTCTCGAGTCCCGGCTGGGAACTTTGCTTTGCCAGTGGGTAAAAAGATGTCTGCAAAGCCAGTCCATTCACAGGTTTAAAAAAAAAAACTGCACAGACATGCATAAGATTAAAAAAACAGGACAGAAGCTGTAAAAAATCCCCACTTATAAATAGATAATCTTTGGTCGTCGGTGAGTGAGCCTAAGATACATGATGGAAATCGAACAAGCAGGGTGACAGTTCCCTCCTCGGTGCTCCTTGAATTCAGTATCTGAGCTGGCTGCTGGCCCTGCAGCGTGTGAGACAGGAGCTGCAGAGGATGGGAGCGGTGACCCCCTCCTGACCCCTCTGTCTCTCGCAGGGCTTCGGACGAGCCAATCACTCAGTGGCCACGGAGAAGCTGAAGGCTCGCTACCCCGACTACGAGGTGACCTGGGCTAACGAGGGCTACTGACGCAGTGGACCCGGCCTCTTTAGAAACGTGGTACCGGGAAGCCGGACTGATGGGGTGTGGGGCGGACCGTGGGGGGGGTCCTGCACTCCAGTCCTCCTGGGCTGTGAGTCTGAGTTTGTCTGAAGCCTCATTGACATGATCACCCGGACCCCCCAGTTCGACAGTTCGGGGCCTTTCCTGAAGCACCTCAAGGACACAAGAGCAGTGCCCTGTCTGGGATTAACCCATAACCCTCTTCCTCTGTCCAGAGTCTTGACCGTTCCTCCATGCTGCTGCTGTGTTCTGTGTGTCTGTGAATCATGAGCAGTGGGAGCTGAGGAGGAGAGAAAAATCAAGGGTTAACTGCATCACTGTGACTCTCCTCTGCTGGGTGTGAGTGTGTGTGTGTTTAGGTTACCAGCAGCTCAAGATTCCAATAAAGGGAGAAATTGGTTCAATTAAGAAAATCATTTTCTTGTGTAATTAAAAACAAGGTAGAGTGCAAAAGAGACTTGCAAAAGCTGTCAGACTGCAGCCAACAAGACTGCACTGGGCTGCACTGCACCCGACTTCCACCAGGTGGCGGCGTTTCACTTTTCTTTTAAATTTCCAGCTAATCAAGGGAGCCAACAAGTGTATGTTGTATGTTGTTGTTGCATTTTTTTTGTGGAGTGCCATAAAAGGAAAATCATAATAAAGGGTTATGATTATGCAGTAAATGAACAGCCTTCTGTTTGCTTTGGTGTGGGTATCCAGGGGAATTCAGCAGGCCTGAAATGGGAACTCGGAGAGCATTGTAAATGAAGCACATCTTCGCAGGAAAGGCAGCCAGAAGTGAGTCTGCTGGTGCTCAGTGGGCTCACGGCGTGTCTGCGGGTCCTCAGTGGGCTCACGGCGAGTCTGGGGGTCCTCAGTGGGCTCACGGCCAGTCTGGGGGTCCTCAGTGGACTCACGCCGTGTCTGGGGGTCCTCAGTGGGCTCACGGCCAGTCTGGGGGTCCTCAGTGGGCTCACGCCGTGTCTGCGGGTGCTCAGTGGGCTCACGCCGTGTCTGGGGGTCCTCAGTGGGCTCATGGCCAGTCTGGGGGTCCTCAGTGGGCTCACGCCGTGTCTGGGGGTCCTCAG